TGTTTGCAGACTGATGGGGCTCACAGAGAGCTTAGCGGAACTGATTAAAATAATCCTACAGGGGCGCCTGGGTGGTTCAGTCATTAAGCGCATGCCTTCGGCTCAGGTCATGGCCCCAGGGTCCTGGGATCGAGCCCCGTGTCAGGTTCCCTGCTCCGCGGGAAGCCTGCTTCTCCCTCCCCCACTCCCCCTGCCTGTGTTCCCTCTCTCACTTTGTCTCTCTCTGTCAAATAAATAAAAAAATCTTTAAAAGAAAGAAACTAGAAAGCTATTAAATAAATAAATAAATAAATAAATAAATAAATAAATAAAATAATCCTACAAAAAATGTAGGCACATCATCATGAAATTTCAACACCCTGTAATGAAGAGAAAATCGTAAAAGCTTTCAGAGAGAAAGCACAGCTTATATACAAAGAGACGAGTTTCAGAAGGGGCTCAGATTTCTCCATGGTGACACTAGATGGAACATGAAAGGCCATGGAGCAATGCTTTCAAAATTTTGAGAGGAAATCATTTCCAATATGGAATGAGCGACCACACTATTAACCAAGTGTGAGGTTGGTCCATGGAGGTCAGACATTTTCCAGAGGCCATCAGGAGGTGCTCCACCAAAAGTAAAGGAGTAGATCAGAAAAGGCCTTGGATCTGGAAAGCAGGCATTCATCTCAGGAGGGTATCAAAGAGAATCCTCCAGGATGATGTCAATGGAGACCCAAGATGACAGCAGGTCACCAGGCATGGAGGCACCCAGCTCAGTGTGGAGCAGGTGCAAGGGTCTGGGGGCAAGGTCTCCAGGCAGATAAAATTGATAAGATACCTAATGATTCTGGACATACTCAAAGGAGATGATAGACAGCTAAATTCTCATTCTTCAGAGCAGGAATTCAATGGGTAATACCTAAAACTGAAAAAAAAAAAAAAACAATAGTAAGCATCTTATTTATAGATATGGAAGTGACATCCAAAGAAACAACCAAAAGATATGAATGTGGTTTTCTTTGGAGAGCAAGGAATGGAGAAAGGGAGATGTGTGGCACCTATACACCTATTCAAAGCTGACTCTGAAAAGCATGTGGATGTGTGGGTTTGATGAAAATTTAAACTAAGTATAAAAATTAAAATAAGGGGTGCCTCGGTGGTTCAGTTGGTTAAGCGTCTGACTTTGGTTCAAGTCATCATCTCAGGGTCCTGGAATCAAGCCCCACGTCAACCTCTGCACTCAGCAGGGAGTCTGCTTCTCCCTCTCCCTATGCCCCTCCCCTGACTCATTCTCTCTCTCTTTCCCTCTCTCTCTCAAATAAATAAAATCTTTTTAAAAAAAATTAAAATAATACACATAGAAAGAAACAATGGATTAAGAATTAGGCCTGGGAATAAATACAGTTTTCTGCTTAACTCTTCAGTTTCTAGGGGCGCCTGGGTGTCTCAGTCATTAAGCGTCTGCCTTCGGCTCAGGTCATGATCCCAGGGTCCTGGGATCGAGCTCCGCATCGGGCGCCCTGCTCGGCGGGAGGCCTGCTTCTCCCTCTCCCACTCCCCCTGCTTGTGTTCCCTCTCTCGCTTGTGTCTCTGTCAAGTAAATAAATAAAATCTTTAAAAAAAAAAAAAAGCATTTAAAAAAATAGTAATAAAAAAATTTTTTTAAAAAGATCCCCTCTCGCCCTCTGCCTCCCCCTCCCCCATCTTTCTCCCTCTCTAAAAAAGAAAAGGAAAAAAGAAATGAGTAGGGGCGCCTGGGTGGCTCAGTCATTAAGCGTCTGCCTTCAGCTCAGGTCATGGTCCCAGGGTCCTGGGATCGAGCCCCGTGTCAGGTTCCCTGCTCAGCGGGGAGCCTGCTTCTCCCTCTCCCTCTGCCTGCCTCTCTGCTTATTTGTGCTCTCTCTCTGTCAAATAAATAAATAAAATCTTTAAAAAAAAAAAAAAGAAATGAGTAAATTGAAACAGAATAATAAATGGTGGAACAGGGTCTAGCTCGGGATTTGGAGGTGCTTCCCTCTTCCCCAGGTGAGTGGTGTTTCACGCATGTGTCTACCATGAGCAGACGCAAGCCATCCATTCACATTCTGACCCTGTGGAAAGATTGGAGATATGCCGAGGGTGGCAGGGGTAAAAGCTTCTGTCAGATTGGAAAGAGGGGCTGGTGCTAGCACCTTGGGCTGGGCAAGCTTGACAAGGACTCTTCTCTACTTAAAACCTTTCCAAGGCTCGGGTACGCTGGCACAGACAGGCAGTGGTGCTTAGGGATCCTGTCCTCCCTAAGGAAGCTGTGAATGGTGCAAAAGCCAAGTGATTTCAGGGACTAGTGTGAGAAAAGGTCGCTATTGCCCCCCTTCTTTCCTGCTTTCCCTGCCCTCCCCCACTCTCCTCACACACCAGAACTCCTCCCCCAACCCCTGGGGCTGACCAAGGAGAGGAGGTCTGGGGGCGCCGACAGAAAAATCTGGAAGTAACACTTGGCGCCTAAGTTCTGGCACCTGCCCCTAGAAAAGATGTCTGGCTGGGTGCCAGCTCTCCTCTTATGAGGGTTTAGAAAACAAAGAGGCTACATTTGTTGCATCATATTTCAGTGTGTTCCATGTTGAGCCCTCAACCTGATTTATTATTCTAAACCAAAGCATGAGACATTGAAACTCAGAGGAGCCGAATAGTTTGCTGGGGGTGTCATAGAGCTAGCAAATGGTGGGGCGGGGTCTCTCCTAGGGTTTGGGGGCTCTTCCCTCTTCCCCAGATGAGTGGTGTTTCACGTTGCTGCCTGCCAGCCCGTCCTCCCAGGCGTTGGAGTGCCCACGCTCTCCCTCCGCTGAAGAGACCTGGGACAAGGTCTTCAGCCGAAGTTAGCAAAAACGGCTTCATCACTCCAGGTGGCTCAAGGACTAGTCTCTGGTCTGACAAAGTGACAAGCAAGCGGTTGTGCTCGGCCCGGAACAGCCTGCCTCCCTCAGACCTCTCAGTCACCACCCCGACTGCCCCACACCCACAGCTGGACCAACACCCCAGAGCTGACATGCCTCCCCTTATCCACTTTTGTCTTTTAGAGACCAGCAGGGAGCAATCACACAACAGCCAGAAAGATTTTTTTTTAATATATGTCAGCCCTTTTCATAACTGAACTTAAAACCCTCCAAGACGGGGCGCCTGGGTGGCTCAGTTGGTTAAGCGACTGCCTTCGGCTCAGGTCATGATCCTGGAGTCCCGGGATCGAGTCCCGCATCGGGCTCCCTGCTTGGCAGGGAGCCTGCTTCTTCCTCTGACCCTCCTCCCTCTCATGTGCTCTCTCTCTCTCTCATTCTCTCTGTCTCAAATAAATAAATTTAAAAAATCTTAAAAAAAAAAAACCCTCCAAGACTCCACATCATACATAGAAAAAAAAAATGCATGGTCTTTACTATGTCCTACAGAGTCCTGCATTATCCGGTCTAGAGATCCACTATTACCGTGGTTTGAATGTAAGTTAAGTAAGCTCCTTTTTTCAAACGTAGTTTTCCAGTTTGGGAGCAGAAGAGTAGAGAAGGAAAGACATTCATTCTGACCTCGGGAAGACTATGTCTATTCAACTCTTTTCTCTCTAAGAGAAGAGGCCCCACCATCTCTGCTCTGTGTCAGGGAGGATTCGGACATTGAGGGGGAGAGAGAAGTGAAAACAGTCAGCTCCCTGTGCGGACCCACTGGCAGTGTGACCCTAGGAGGGACACTGATTCCCTCGCTGGGCTTCGGTCTCACCAATGAGCAGATCGGAACAGCTGGGCTGTCGGGATCCACCCAGTCCTCATATGCTGTGGTTGTCTGGATGCTGAAAATCAGGGAAAATGGAATGGTGCAGAACGTCATGTTTTGCCAACATAGGTCCCATCTTTTCACTTTTGCCTGGAATGCAATGTCTGGAACAAACAGTTCGGGTCATCTATGGTACCCTGAATGGGAAGAGTGTTTGTATTTTGAGGAGTCCCAGAGGCTGGCACTCCCATGTTTGTGGTAAAGACCAGGCTGCCTGCCCATGACTCTTGGGGTTTCATCATCATCCTTAGGTGCCACGTGGGCTACCGGGCCTCCCCCCAGTGCACCTGTGGTCACTGGCAGATGCTGCCTCTGACAACACCAGCACCCCCAACAAGGTGGTGTTGGAGACCCAGACAAATGTTTTAAGGAAGGCACCCCAGCCTGGGTATCTTTCTGGAAAAGCCGTAATGAGGCCCTCATTCCCACTACCAACAATCTCTTTTCACAGTTGGCTTTGTAGAATCTTCATGCTGTCCAGACCACAATGGCATTCAGCCTTAGAGGCTTCTGTGCTGTCCAGAACATGCCAGGGTCCCACTTTTAGCATTACTCAACATTAACACTTAGTACATCTTGGGGCGCCTGGGCAGCTCAGTCAGTTAAGCGTCTACCTTCGGCTCAGGTCATGATCCTGGGGTCCTGGGACCGAGCCCCGCATCGGACTCCCTGCTCGGCGGTGTAAGGTGCACGGCGCAGTTGGCACTCGGATGGCGGAGGGCACGGCCAGGCTGGTGCTGGGAGCTTCATCTCTCATCACCGTTCTCCCGGTTTCCCTCCAGTCACACCCTGTGTCTCACTTTCAGCCCCAGCGTAAGCCTCTGGGCGGACTTCCTCTGCCTGGGACGCCAGGTGGGCTCACCTGCAGGGCCGTCACCTCGGTGAAGTCTCGCCGGCCCCTCTGCGTTCCGCGTGCGTGGCGCCCCCTGGCGGTCCCTCGGTGCAGGCGGTTTAGAGCGGGTAGCAGGACCTTGAACCGGGTTGCCTGCCCCCCCCACCCCCGGCTGACCAAATGACCGCAGGAGGCGTGCCAGCTCGGAGTGTGTGGCTGCAGACCCTGGGCTCCGGGACCGCGGGGGCCGAAGCCGTGGGCGGCTGAGGGCACGTGCGGGTGACATTGGTCCGGCCGAACAAAGGGACCTCCAGCCGGAGAGGCCGGAGCCTGCCCCATTCGTTTTGCCGTCGCCTCGGACTTGCAGCCTCACCTTGGGCCACTTCCAGCCATGAAGCTCCTTTTGCTGACTCTGGCTGCCCTCCTGCTCTTGTCCCAGCTCACTCCAGGTAACGGGGACCTTTTCGGGGAGGGGCAGGGTGTGGAGACTGAGGCCTGGTCCCGGAACCCCCAGGCCTGGGAGGATGGGCTGCCCTTTTGGAAACACCGAGAGAAGGAGCCCTCGCCCGCAGCAGGTGCCAGAGCTTAGGTACCAACCACGACATCCAGAGCTTCTGGCTCAGCCACCCCGTCCATCTCGGCTCTCTCAGGGAGCAGCTGCTGGTGGCCTTGCGCGTGAGAAAGAATGAAAGGGGTGCGCAGGAGAAGGAAGAAGAGGGCAACCGTGGGCCTTTCACAAAATAGTCCCCAGAATGTTCTAGGCTTTGTAAAGATCACAACCACCTTAACCAGAGAGAAAAACTCACATTCTCTGTGCCTCTGTGCCAGACCCTGTGTTGGAGGCTAGGGCCACAGAGATAAATGACAGTGGCCCTGGGGGAGACAATGAACAGCATTTACAACCCAGGGTGACATGAGCTGTGACAGAGGGGGTCTAGGGATCTGAGGTGGACATGGGAGGGACCAGCCCAGTCTGAGGGCCAGGAGAGTCCTCCTGATGGGATACCCTGAGTCCTGAAAAGTATGTTGAGATTAGAAGGGGAAGGAGAAGAGAAGGAAATAGGAAGGGTGTCCCAGGCAGAAATCAGCTTATGCAAAGAAAGGTCCAGCTGTGGGAGAGAACGTGGCACCTTCAGAAAACTGGCACACCACTGAGTGGGTTAGGGGCATGGCGAGGGGGAAACTGAGGAAGGATTCAAGGTCCAGGTCTTGATCGGCCTTGACTACCAGGTGAGGGAGCCATGGGAAGGCTAACCGGATTTGGGCAATGGTCAGACTTGCCCATCCCACAACCCCCGGCCTTGCTATCCGCCCACATCAAGGCTTCTGCCCACATCAAGGCTTTCACCTAACATTTCCAAAGGGGCAGAATGTGTCATTTCCTCAACCAAGCTGACCTCAGGCCTCGTATCTGCCTGTGGCAAGTGCCTGACCCACCACTCACCACAGGGTAGAGGCGCAAGCGTCAGAACCCAGGTCAGAATGCCCCACCATTTGCTAACTCCGTGACCTCCTCAGTTTCCATTTCCTCTTCTCAACCTGCTACAACAATAACGTTTGTGTAGTGGTATCAGATTGAGGGAAGACACAGAACACACTGAAATGTATCTTCTTTATTTTATATGGTTTTCACTGGTTCCTGGAAATTTATTATACTAAAATCATAAAGACACTCACCATCTACTATTTGGTCACTCAGTGGGACAGTTTATATAAGAAAGACGGAATGAATGCTTGGTGATTTTCCTGTATGTGTGAATCCACAAGATAATGATTTATTTTTCTATCATCCTCCAAATGTGACAAAATAGTTTTTAATATATTTGATGAATTTTCACACATTGCAGTCTTTATTCTTGCTGAAATTCAAATTGCCACATCTTTGGCTTGTGGTAGCCTTATTGTACATATATCCCTGCTAGTTTGTGATCGTTTCCTTGTGATAAAGTCCAGCTTATAGACACCACAAGAGACACACTTGTAGTCCGACGGAGTCAGACATATTAACTTGGCACAGCAAAGGAACCGTGGGCAAAAGAAGGAACAAATAAGGTTTCTATAGGATTAAGGAGAGGGACAGAGTTTAGGTAAAATGTAAATGAAGTTATATGTTTTGTTTTCTTTCAAGTTTTTATTTAAACTGTAGTTAGCTTATAGTGTAATACTGGTTTCAGGAGTAGAATTTAGTGATTCATCACTTACATACAACACCCAGCGCTCATCACAAGTGCCCTCCTTAATGCCCATCAACCAGTTAGCCCATCCCCCCCCCAAACTCCCATCCAGCAACCCTCAGTTTTTTCTCTATAGTTAAAAGTCTATAATGTTTTGCTTCCCTCTCTCTTTTTTTTCCTTCCTCTACGTTCATCTGTTTTATTTCCTAAATTCCATATATAAGTGAAATCATATGGTATCTGTCTTTCTCTGTGAAGTAGTGTTTGATAGACTTCATGTCTAAAGGGATTAACATCAGGCTGAGGCTCAGAAATGGATTCAGGGTTCTATTTCCATGGAAAGTACAAAATTAAGAGAGATGTGGAATTTCGTATCCCAAAACCCCTTCTCTGACACTCTGCCCTTGGCTCTGAAATCAAGGACACTTTTCTGTATTGAAAGACTGGTTCCTCAGAAAAGAATGTAATGTTCCAGTCCTGACCATATGATTTCAAATACAAAATTTCAGAAAGATGTGACTTCAGACTTTGTCCTTTTGTTAAGTGACAAAAGCAGTTTCACTGGTTCATAAGTGGTTATCTGGTGTAACGAGATATTCTAGGCTCATCTTGTACAATTCCTGCCCAGATCTTGAATTCCCCATTTCTTCAAGAAGCTCTGATTCTTCTTTTTTAAGTAGGAAAATGGTATTTCAGAACCGTGATCTAGATGCTAGAGATATTCAGTCCTACTAAATTAGTCCTTCATTCCACATCTTTTCAGTAGACAGAGCTGGGTGGGAAAATCGACACATTGAATACATATAAAATATCTCATGAATTATTATTAATACTTCCTATTTAAAGTGATCTTGGTTAGACATGATAGGGCACACTTAATGAGGGGTATTCCTATCAGGAGAAAAAGCATCACTAACAAAAGTGTGCACCCAGGACCAGAGTCCTGTTGGGAATATCCAGGAAAAGCCGCCAGAAGCAAACTCACGGGTCCCAGAGGTCAGACTATATTGTTCACTCAACAAATGCTTTGGTTTGCTTACGCGGATGTATTCACACACACACACACACCAGAACGGTTTCTGAGAAATGTGAATGTGGCAGGCATTACCAACAATTCCACATGTGGCTCCCTCACATGGCAAAATGATGTCTAATGCAAGTTGATGATGGACAATGGTTTTCTGGAACTCCTAGAATTGTCAAAAGACTACGGTAGTATTTTTAGTGACATTGTCAGCAGCTCGGATGACTTCACGAATGAGCACATGGAAAACTCAGGCACTGCACTGAACTTCTCCAGTGCCCTCCAGACTGTTTCTCTAGAAATTGCCATAGCATAAAACCTATCCCCAATGCCAGTAAGCCCATCTAGCTTACCACGCTTTTCAGCTCCTTCACACAATTCTTTTCATCCCCACCTGAGAACCAGATGTTTTGCAAAAGAGTGTACTTATCCCCAACCACTGAGTTCAAAAGCGAGGGTTTGACTCCTGACGTGAAAAGGCAACAAATTGTTCCAGCTTAATCCAGTTGCACAGCAAGAAAAGGAAAAAGAGCTGGGCAAGCTCTCATGGCCCTTTACAATTCACGGGGCGGGAGGAACAGGGAACAGTGAAACTCTGAGTCACTTAGGCTTTTCAGGGCCTTCTGTCAGTTTAGCAAGTTTTAATTTTAACTTATGGTGAGTTCTTTCTATTTTTTCTGAGGCTTGAGAATGATAAGGATGTACGATTTTTGGCAAAATGGCCATTCCCTAATTAAAGTCCCAGTAAAAAGAGCACCTCGGTCATTAGAAAGGCAGATAGGCGTTCCCAAGTAGGAAAGACAAACCACAATTGTTTTTAGTCACAGGAAACAGTTGCTTTCTGGCAAGGAAAAGCATCTAGTCCTTCACAGAAAAGGCAGATGGTAGTGAGTACAAATCCTTGAGATTTAGGGAGCTGTATAGAGTCCCTGAGACAGCGGTTCCTTTTCACGTCCCACTTTTACTGTTTTTCCAAAGGTTATTAAGCTGGCAGGTGGAACATATACTGGAGCTACCCTCACTGATCAGTGGAAACTTCTCCACCAGTGTTGTCTTAGAACAGTTTATAAGTTTTCGGGGCACCAGTCTGGCTGAGTCAGTGGAGCATATGATTCTTCGTGGGGTTGTGAGTTCAAGCCCCATGTTAGGTGTAGAGATTACTTAAAAATAAAATCTTAAGGGCGCCTGGGTGGCTCAGTTGGTTAAGCGACTGCCTTCAGCTCAGGTCATGATCCTGGAGTCCCGGGATCGAGTCCCGCGTCGGGCTCCCTGCTCGGCAGGGAGTCTGCTTCTCCCTCTGACCCTCCTCCCTCCCATGCTCTCTGTCTCTCATTCTCTGTCTCACAAAAAAAAATAATAATAATTAAATAAATAAATAAATAAATAAAATCTTAAAAACAAAAGGAGAGTTTATAGGTTTTCTTTACTGTGATGGGTCAAATTTTCCACCAAGCTCCATTTTTGACCGTCCAGAAACACCAGTTAGCCGTCTTAGTGTCTCCATAACACATCAGATTTCTCTCAGTACATTTTTTCAGAACCTAGTTCTTGTGATGGCAGTTTGCTCAAGGTTCAAAAGAAGTTTTAAAAGATAATTTAAAAAAAACTCCTGGCACATATATATGTGTGTGTGTATATTAACATATGTATATATATGTATATATATGCATTTAACACATGTTATATATATATACATATGAACATGTGTGAAAGATTTTATTTAACTCATAATGAGAGAACAAGGCAGATTTTATAACTGGATCAAAGCATAAATAGAAACTGGCTTTTTCCCCCCCGTGGTGCAGGGGAGGAGAGAGAGAGTCAAATTAACCTCTCTGCAACAGAACATACTTGCAAGTATAGAGAAATAATGATTTTTGCCCTACCATTATTTATCAACAGCTCATAGAGTTGTAAAATAACTCCCACACAATCAAAATCAGATAACCCTGAGGACTGTGATCGACCAAGACCAAGGACTATTGACACTGTTGGTGATTATTGACCTTTTGGCACCATCGATGATTTGGGCCAGATAGTTCTTTGTTGTGGCTGCCCTACGCATTGTAGGGTATTTAGCGGAATCCTTGGCCTCTACCGACTAACTGCCAGTAGCACCTCGCACCTGTTGCAGCAACTAAAACTGTCGTCACACATTTCATTGCCAAACATCCCCTCAGGAGCGAAATCGCCCCAGTTGAGAACCCCTGCTCCGGACGGTGCGAGTTTTCCTCTGAAGCACGTATTTCCCCCGTGAGTCTCCCCTGCATTGGTCTAAAAATCATCTCAAGGAAAGCTTACTCCCGATCACAAAATACACCTGGTCAAAACCTACAGCCAAAAGAAGGAAATAATAAAGGTTACAAATTAATGAAACTTACAATTAACTTAAGAATGAATGAAATAGGGCGCCTGGGTGGCTCCGTCGTTAAGCGTCTGCCTTTGGCTCGGGTCATGGTCCCAGGGTCCTGGGATCGAGCCCCGCATCGGGCTCCCTGCTCAGCGGGAAAGCCTGCTTCTCCCTCTCCCACTCCCCTTGCTTGTGTTCCCTCTCTCGCTGTGTCTCTCTCTGTCAAATAAATAAATAAAATCTTAAAAAAAAAAAAAATGAATGAATGAAATAGAGAATAGCCAGGGCTTGAAACTGCCCAAAGAAAATGGTTGAACGACACAACTAGAGGTCCCAGGCTTCATTCAGCTGCTGGAGCCCCTGGAAACTCGAGTCAGAGCAGGCTTGGGGCTTTTACAGAACAAAGAGAAGGGTACAGGTCCTTGTTTGGCTCAAGTAGAGATTTCATCTTTAACTGCTGCAAAACTTGTGGTTGGAATAGCAACTGTCCCAGATTCGTGTGTCTCCAGGTTGAGGTCATGGGTGCCATCCCACCCCCAAAACTGTCAGAACACTTCTTTCGGGAGCTGTGTTTGTAAGCCTTGCAATTTGTTGATTAGTCAAGATTCCAGAACAGGAAAGGCTTCAACAACAATATGGGTGGGTTGTTGCCAAGGGCTCCAGGGGAGGGGAAAATGGGGGTTACTGTTTGATGAGTATAAGAGTTTCAGTGTTATGAGATGAAAAGAGTTATGGGGGTGGCTGGTGATGATGGCTATACACAATGTGAATGTATTTAACACCACCGAACTGTGCACTTAAAAATGGTTAAGATGATAAATTTTATGTTATGTGTACTTAACTACAATTAATGAAAAAAACCTAAGTACAGCCACCTCGTAATGATAGACCTTGGCAAAAAAAAAGTAAAATTATGAAGAAAGTGATGGAATATTAGCCAAAAACAAAAACAAAAAATAGACAGTATAGATGAACCTTGAAAACAAGCTAAGTGAAAGAAACTAGACACAGAAGGCCACATATTATATAATTCCATTGGCATAAAATTTCCACAGTAGGCCAATCTATAGAGAGGAGGGCCGATTGGTGATTGCCCAGGGCTGGGGAGAGGGGTGCAGGGTTTCTCTTTTGGATGATTAGAAAGTTCTGGAACTAGATGATGGTGATGGTTGCACAACATTGTGAATGTACTTAATGCCCCTGAACCACGCACTTTAAAATGTTTGATGGGTGCCTGGCTGGCTCAGTCGGAGGAGCATGCTATCTTGGCCTTAGGGTCGTGGGTTTGAGCCCCACATTGGGTGTGGAGATTACAAAAATAGATAGATAGGGGTAGGGGCGCCTGGGTTGCTCAGTCGTTAAGCGTCTGCCTTTGGCTCAGGTCACGATCCCAGGGTCCTGGAATCAAGCCCTGCATCGGGCTCCCTGATCCACGGGAGGCCTGCTTCTCCCTCTCCCATTCTCCCTGCTTGTGTTCCCTCTCTCGCTGTGTCTCTCTCTCAAATAAATAAATAAAATCTTTAAAAAAAGAAATAAATAAATAAGCAAGCAAGCTTTAAAAAAATAAAATGCTTGAACTAGTAAGTTTTATGTTCTTTGTATTTTACCACAATTTTTAAAAAGGGAAGGAGAGAAAAAGGAGCCCAACGGTCAAAGGCAAGGGAAACTGAGGACCCTCTATCACACTTGCTTTAATACCACCTCTCAGGGCTGACACTGTCTCCATTTCTCTTTTTGTGTATGTCAGGCGGCACCCAAAAATGCTGGAATCTTCACGGCAGATGCCGTCAGAAATGCTCCAGGAGAGAAAGGGTTTATGTTTACTGCACCAATAATAAACTGTGCTGTGTGAAGCCCAAGTTCCAGCCAAGAGAAAAGCTATGGCCATTTTAAGTTCTCTGAAGCCTGACGCCATGAAAATGCAGATGGAGCCGCCCTGAGTCTGACCCCAGTGGATTCCTAAATTCTATCAATAAACACATGTGGCTGATCTCTGTGTTCGCCTCTTAGTCTACCTCAGCCAGTTCTCAGGAAATCCCCTTTCAGGTGAAGTCAAAATATTTTCATAATAATAATAATAAGACAGTATTTGCCTTCTTCAGTCTATCTCACAAGTGTGCAGTGGAATCTTCTGGAATCTATGTGACATATGATGATATCATTGTTCCGTCAGCTAATGAAAAGTGTGTTTATGTATCCTTATGTTTCTAGAATTTTTTAAGATAGCAGGCTTAAAGTATGAGGGTGTTCATTTTCAGAGATTAACTCAGGTTGTTCTCAGTAATTCTATTGTGCTCTTACTAGCCATCTTTAGTTACATCATTAATCTCTGTAACCTCATGTTTATCTAATAATAAATCATTACTTTGAAGGGGCACCTGGGTGGCTCAGTGGATTAAGCGTCTGCCTTTGGCTCAGGTCATGACCCCAGTGTCCTGGGATCAAGCCCCACATCGGGCTCCCTGCTCCATGGGAAGCCTGCATCCCCCTCTCCCTCTCCCTCCGCTGCTCCCCCTGCTTGTGCTCTCTCTCTCTCTCAAATAAATAAATAAAAATATTTTAAAAAATCATTACTTTGAAATTCCAAAATGTTCCTTTGTACCTGTGTGCAAACCCAAGGAGAACGGAGAACACTGTTATCTTGGTTTGCAGAGGCTATACTCTCCCTGAGGGAAAACAACACTTACTCTACACTCTGCAGTTCTTTTAAATACAATTTCTAGCACACAATTGAAAAATATTAAAAGCCCTTCACAAAGGAAGGAAAATAAGATCCATAACCAAGAATAAATATAGTGGGTGCCTGGGTGGCTCAGTTGGTTAAGCGACTGCCTTCAGCTCAGGTCTTGATCCTGGAGTCCCGGGATCGAGTCCCACATCAGGCTCCTTGCTCAGCAGGGAGTCTGCTTCTCCCTCTGACCCTCCCCCCTCTCACACGCTCTCTCTCTCATTCTCTCTCTCAAATAAATAAATAAAATCTTTAAAAAAAAAATAGTCAATAGTGGCAAATCCAAACTTGGCACAGGTGTTGGATTTCACAGACAACTTTAAAATAACTATTATAGGGACACCTGGGTGTCTCAGTCGTTAAGTGTCTGCCTTGGGCTCAGGTCATGATCCCAGAGTCCTGGGATCGAGACCCGCATCGGGCTCCCTCCTCAGTGGGAAGCCTGCTTCTCCTTCTCCCACTCCCCCTGCTTGTGTTCCCTCTCTCACTGTCTCTCTCTGTCAAATAAATAAATAAAAATCTTAAAAAAAATAAAATAACTATTATAAATATGTTACAGAAATTAGAGGGAAAGATTGAAAGGTTGAATAATTTAAACCAATATACAGAAAAATACTATATCAGTTTTCTATTTCTACATGACAAATCACTCCAAAACTTAGTGGATTAAAATAACAAGTATTCATTAATTCTCAGATTTCTGTGTGTGAATTGAGTGGTTCTTCTGATATTCTCACCTGGGGTCACCCATATGACTGCATCTCTGTCCATATGACCTTTCCGTTTCAAGGAAGTTAAAGCTAGGTCTAAGAAGGTAAACCCCAATATGCAGCATTTTCAAACTTCTGTTATCATGCTTTCTTAAATCCCATTGGCCAAAGCAATTTTTGCTTTTTAATTTAAATTTTAGTTAGTTAACATACAGCACAATATTGGTTTCAGGAGTAGAATTTAGTGATTCATCACTTATATATAATACCCAGTGCTCATCACAAGTGCCCTCCTTAATGCTCAACCCATCATTCCCCCAATGCCCACCTCACCTCCATCAACCTTCAGTTTGTTCTCTATCGTTAAGAGTCTCTTATGTTTTGTTTCCCTCTCTCCCTTTTTTCCTTTCCCCTTCCTGTGTGTTCTGTTTTCTTTTTAAATTCCACATTTGAGTGGGATCATATACTATTTGTCTTTCTCTGACTGACTTATTTCACTTAGCATAATACACTCTAGCTCCATCCACGTCATTACAAATAGCAAGTTTTCTTTTTTTTTTTTTTTTTGATGGCTGAGTAAATTCCATTATATATATATACCACACCTTTATCCATTCATCAGCCGATTGGCCAAAGCAATATGACCTGCAGTCAGTATGAAAAAGGACTACACGAAGGCATGAATACTGGAGACATGATTCATGGGGATCATCAGTGTATCAGTCTACCACAAATGGAATCTTCTAAGAATAAATTTGACATTCTAAATTGAAAAATACAAAATCTAAAGTTAGGAATTTATTGGATGGGCTTAACAGCAGACTAGGCAGAGTGGAAGAAAGAATCAGGAAACTCAAAGACAAATCAATAGGAAATACAATAAAAGCACAGGGAGAAAAAGTATGCAGAACAAACAGAACAGAGAATAAGAGACTTATGGGACAATTTCAAATGTTCTAACATATATCTAATTGGGAGTCTTAGAAGGAGAAAAGAGAGGAAATGGGGAAGAAGAAATATTTTTTAAAGTATTGGCTGAAAACTTTCCAAAATTGTTGAAAGATCATCAATTCACAGACTCAAGAAGTCTAATGAACTCCCTTCAGAATAGACACGAAGAAAATCAAGTTTAAGCATAACATAGTCAAACTGCTAACAACCAAAAGAAAACATACTTCCCAATACCTGTGAATATTTCAAACAAAATACATTCAATAATTTTATGGAGAAAATTAGAAGCCCTTATTAAAAGACAATATAGAAAGCCTAAATTTATAGAGACGTACCATGTTTATGAATTAGAAGACTCAATGTCTTAAAGACATCAATTCTACACAAACTGTTTCCCAGATTCAATGATATTCCAATCAAAATCTTAACCAAACCTTTTCCAAAACTTGACCAAAATTGTACACTTATTAACAAATGTTTTATTAGGGGCATAGACATAGATGATGAAATGAGCAGTAAAGCACATACTGAGGATAATGGTCAACTCTAAGTATAGGAATTGGAAGAGGTAATGCTGATATTCTACTATTTTATCTGGATGGTAGGTATGGAGATATTTGTTTTCTTATTATTTTTATACTTTTATATATTTTAAATATTCTTTTGACTTCTCAATCTATAATAAAAATCAAGTTTTTCAAAAAGAGATAAAATCCATGAACATTAAGTGTCTCAAAATCTTTAAGTCCAGAAAAAAAGGAAAAGATAAATCAATCATGAAGACCTAGAGAAGAATATATGTGAAAATTACATGGTGGGAATGTAAAACAGTGCAACCACTTTGAAAGCACTAGACAGTTTCTCAAAAAGTGTAATGTACCATATGATCCAACCGTTCACATCTAGGTGTTTACCCAGGAGAAACAAAAGCATATGCCCACACAAAGACTCGTAATATAATTGCTCACAGCAGCTTTATTTGTAAAAGCCCAAAACTGGAAACACTCTAAACTGGTGACAGGTGAACAGACAAACAAGTTGTGGTATATCCATACAATGGAATATTATTCAGTAATAAGAAGCAATGAAGTGGGCGCCTGGGTGGCTCAGTTGGTTAAGCGACTGCCTTCAGCTCAGGTCATGATCCTGGAGTCCCTGGATCGAGTCCCGCATCGGGCTTCCTGCTCGGCGGGGAGTCTGCTTCGTCCTCTGACCCTATCCCCTCTCAGGTGTTCTCTCTCTCTCATTCTCTCTCTCTCAAATAAATAAAAATAAAACCTTAAAAAAAAAAAAAAGAAGCAATGAAGTACTGATGCTACAACGTGGGTGATTCTTCCAATAATTACGCTGAATGAAAGAAAACAGACAAACCATGAGACATTCTTGGTCCAAAAATGTCTGTGTCATCTGACCTCCATGCATCCTCCAATTTTGACACATGGCATTTTGGGTCCCTACTTATTAGAGTCAACTCAGAAACAGCGTTGCCTTTCCCAAATATAGAATCACCCTGGTCAATGGCCACAGGTGCCCTGGCCCAAAGAAAGATTTTCAGTATGTGCCTGTGGCGTTGTTACAGAGTCCTTCCTCAAAGGGACCCAACCCCCACTTCAGTCAAGGGTTTCTGGGTCTATGAATTTAAATGAGAAGCCATGGTTCTCCACAGAGTCATCTCAACAAAGGGTTTTTCCCCCAGGGCAGGAAGTTATCTGTTTTGTCAGCTGCTGAATCCTCTGTAGTTAGAATAATGCCTGGCACCCCTAGTAGGTAGTCGATAACTGTTAGTTGAATTAATGGAAAACAGAAAAAGTAGGGTGTTGATGCTGGTGAAGTGAAGGTGGGCATCCTGAGGTGAGTATGGTTGAGATATCAGTGGAAATCATGAGGCATGCCCAATCAGGGAAGCCTGAGCCTCAACCAGATGCTCACTGGACTGTGGGTTCAAATTAGGGAAAAATGGAGAAAAATTAATGAACATGCACATAATGCTGGAAATATATCATCGAAAACCATATCTAAATTGTTGTAACACTAAGGATTTTTTTTACCATGTCTTAGAGCTACTGAACCATAATTCCCATAAAACATAGATCCATTTGTTCATTTAGTCATATAACAAGTACTTATTTTTTTAAGATTTTGTTTATTTATTTGACAGAAAATGAGAGAGCACAGTAGGGGGAGCGGCAGGCAGAGGCAGAGGGAGAAGCAGGCTCTTCGAGCAGGGAGCCCGATGCGGCGCTCGATCCCAGGACCCCGGGATCATGACCTGAGCTGAAGGCAGACGCTTAACGACTGAGCCACCCAGGCGCCCCAACAAGTACTTATTGATACCTGTTATTTGCCAGACACCAGGTTAGTCTCTAGCTATAATGTAGTAAATAAAACAAATATGCACTTTGTCATCGTGGAGCCTACAACCTGTGGAGGAAAAGGCATTAAAGAAATAAATTCATAATTACATATGGTAGCAAGGGCTATGAAGAGTGTAGTGATTGAGAATA